AAACGACCTCCCTGTCCACCCATGAAAGCTCCCTGGAGTGATGGTGTGTGCCTGGAGAGGGCTCTAGAAGAAAGACCTCCCTCCCTCCCCTTGGTGTTGGTGAGGGCCGAGGGAAAGGGAGGCTGACCGCCAGCACCTGCTCTGGGGCCTCCCTCCAGGTCATTGGCAGCCTGGAGAAGGAGGTGGTGACTTAATAGGCCCAGCAGATGAAGAGAAGAGAACTTGGACCCAGGTTTGAACAGCAGCCTCTCACCAATAATGAAAGATCAGGAGCCAGGAAACTGTAGATAAAAATAGCACTTATCAGTTAATTGGAAAACAATATATTTTTGCAACCACTGCTTCCACGAGAAAATGATTGGGTCCCAAGGCAGGGAACAACTCGTTTTCATGAATGATTATATTGATCATTGGAGCAACGTGGATACATCCCCTTTGGAAAGCAATTCAGAGGAGAAGCCTATGGCTGGTCAGACATGCCCAGGGTGAAATCCTGAGAGGCTGCATAAGTAGGAGGAAAGAGGCTGGAAGTTAATGAGGGAGCGGGCCCTGGCTGGGCAGGCCGTGTGGGGCTATTGATCGGGAGATGCAAAACAAGAGAACTTGCTTCCAACCCAAGTCCCGAGCTCTCCCGAGGGAGGAAAGAAGGTGCGTCCATTCACATATCAGTTCCTTATTCTTTTTTGTAAAAAACCCCACATTTTTTACTTATTTATTTTAAAATATTTATTTATTTATTTATTTTTGGCTGCATCGGGTCTTAGTTGCAGCACACAGGCTTCTCTCTAGTTGTGGCGTGCCATGTGGGATCTTAGTTCCCTGACCAGGGATCAAACCCACATCCCCTGCCCTGGAAGGCGGATTCTTAATCACTGGAGCACCAGGGAAGTCCCTCAGTTCCTTATTCTGCTTGAACCCATTGGGTGTTTTGTTTGTTTGCACTTTTCTCCTGGAGGGATTTACTGGCAGTGAGCAGCATGTTCTTATGGAAAGAGGAGCAGGCTGGGAGCCTCCCCTTTGCCACTGACGGGAGAATGTGACCCCCAAGTATTTCCCATTCCCTTTCCTGCTTCTGGAGTCATTCAGTCATTCATTCTACGCATAGTTATCAAACACTCTCTCAGAACAAGAAGGGAACATTGGTTGAGGGTTCCTTGTGTGCTAAGTACTGTTCTAAGTGCTTTGCATGTATTAACACATTTACTGTTCATGGCAACCCAGAGTAGGTGTCCTTAGCTCCATTTTACAGGTGAAGAAACTAAGTCAAAGAAAGCTTAAATAACATGACCAATATCACTCACCTGGTGAGCGACTGACAGACACTAGACACTGGGCGAGATGCTAGAGACAAAAGGGTCCAAACTGGACACAGCTTGTGACCTTGTGGAGCTTATTTTATCTAACACGTAGTCACACAAAAGTACAAAGCACAGTGGGCACAAGGGAAGGAGAGGATGTCAGAGGCCTGATTTGGGTTTGAGGGGTGGACAAGGCTGCACCGAGAGAGGTGGCCTGCTTCCTCACTGCTTTCAGGTCCTCACTCAGAGTGACTGCTTTGGTCCCTCGTTTAAAACAATGACCCTCGACACTCTTGATGCCTTCCCCCACTCAGCACCGCCACACATATCGTGAGCTTTTCGATGATTTTTGAGCCAGATCAAGAAGAGAATATCTAAGGTGGTCACTTTTCTGGTAGGTGCCTGTAGAGGAGCTACGGGACAGGTCTGCGTGGATCTGCGTGCCTGACTTTGAGGCAGCTGGGAACCTAAAGCTTCGTTACCTCCTTGCCGAGCCTTAAGGGGACAGTGGGCTCTCAGTCAGTGCGGCTCTTGGGCAGACCCATCCCCCACCCTCCCCAGGCCCAGGGTGAGTACCACGTGATCGCTCTCGCTCACCTGTCAGTGCTCTGTTATTGGCTGGTTCCATTTGTTACTGTCTGTCTCTTAGTTTTCCTGCGGGGCAAGACCTGTGTTTTCCTTTGGTTGCTGCAAAGCCCAGAGGAACTCGTTCAGCGGTTCATGAAGGAGTGAGCTATGGAGGGGCTTGTCAAATGGGAACAGCTGTTATTTGTCCAGCCCCTTTAAGCCAGGGGCCCACAGCTTCCCCGGGCATGTGCTCCTCCATCCCATTGGCCTTCCTGGCAGAGGCCAAGCAGCTGTTAATCTGTTTCTACAGATGGTCATCCAAGGCCCCAAGAAGGGAAGATCTTCATTGGGTTACCCAAGGAGGCTGGGGCAGAATTGAGCCTGGAATTTATCTCTGTGCCCTGGTTGTTGTCCATAAGATCCAGCCCCCTATTCTGCAGAGGGAAAACACCAGTGTGATCATCAATAAATAATATTTCTTTGGCCCCAAATTGATTTGCCTGCAGACGGATGCGCCATCCTTATTTTGTCTTAATCTAAATGTAAATTAATTTTCCATTCCTGGGGTACATTAAGGCAGGGGTCTAGACTTGGAGTTAGGATCCCTGAATTCCATCCAGGCCCTGCTTTTAGTTGTGGTCCTGGGCAAGTCCCTTCTTCTCTGGTCCTCAGTCTTTACCATTGTAAACAAATAGTCCATCCCAAGCCCTGTTGCACAGCAGAACTGCCTGGGTGCCTCCACCTGCCCCCACACCAAGATCTGATTCAGTAGGTCTCGAGGCGGATCCTGGTCCTGTGTACAGGAAGGAGGTGAGGTCTGTTCGGCCACATGGTCTTACAGGCCCCCTTACCCAACTCAGCAAACCTGGGTGACCAGGTGACAGTGGCTTGCTTTCATCGATGAGGGGTCAGGGCCTTGTGGAGAACCAGCCCTTGTCCCTTCCCTCAGCTGCAGCCTGTTCTCAAGATGGGGCTTCCACAGAAGAGGACCCAGTGCTTTAGGGACAATAGGACAGAGTTTGGATTTAAAACGCCGGTGCTGGATATCCCATTTCAAAGCTTCACCAAGAATAAATAAATAAATAAATAAAAAAGGAATTCCCTGGTGGTCCAGTGGATAAGACTCCACGATCTCACTGCTGAGGGCCTAGGTTCAATCCCTGGTCAGGGAACTAAGATCCCACAAGTCGTGCGGCCCAGCCAAAAAAAAATTTTTTTAATTTTTTAATTAAAAATAATTTTAAAAGCTTCAGCTGAGTGGATGAATTTTTTTTTTTTTTCCCCGCAAGTGAACCCTATCCTTAACTCCTCTTTTGTAAGCTGGAGGGAGACCTACCTGGGGGCAACTCCAGTCTCAGAGAGATTGAAGAGAAATGCCTTGTAAACGGTTTAATAATTTAGTTAGATCTCTCCATCTGGATGATGATTCTGGTGGATATTTTCCTCTCTCCTCCGTGGCTTCCCTGGGTGAGAATGAGCGCAGGCAGATTTAAACATCTAGGTTGGTCCCCCGCTGCCCCAAGCCACCCACCCACTCAGCCCACACCCGAGTGGCTGCCTCCCCCTGTCGTTTAGTGTGTCCTCAGGGGAAGCAGACTCATTTCAGTATAAGCTCAAGCAAAATGTAATTAGGACAGTAAATCTGCTGTTTAACCAAAAAAAAAAAAAAAAAGCCCTAGTTTTTTTTTTTTTTTTTTTTTTGCGGTACGCGGGCCTCCCACTGCTGTGGCCTCTCCCATTGCAGAGCACAGGCTCCAGACGCGCAGGCCCAGCGGCCACGGCCCACGGGCCCAGCCGCCCAGCGGCACGCGGGACCCTCCCAGGCCGGGGCACGAACCCGCGCCCCCTGCATCGGCAGGCGGACTCCCAACCACTGCGCCACCAGGGAAGCCCTGGAAATCCTTCCTTTGATGCTGAAGGAAGGATGGGAGAGACCTGGCCTTTGATTTAATTTCTCCCAGTTTGGGAACAGAGTCCAGGACATGGTAACCATGTTTACTGAAAATGCAACATGGCTTAAAATCTACTGTGAGATCGTCTGAGGCTGCAGGAATGGGGACCTGACTTCATGAAAGTCTTTTTTTCTTTCCATGCCTCACAGTATGACTGACTCACAGCATCCATCCTGCACCAGCACCCTCACCTCCTTTCCAGGGCATTTACCACATCAGTGGCAGTACACCAAGGGCTGTAGATGTGTTTTCTCAGTCAGTCTGCACAACAGCCTTAGGAGGCAGGTTCTGTCATCTGCATTTTACCCCCATTTTATGGATGAAAAAAACTGAGGTTGAGAGAGGCAAGTGACTTGCCCCAGGTTGCACAGCATGCAAGTGGAGCAACTGGATTTGAAGGGTCTGTGCTCCTAGCCTCTGTGCTGTATTGCAACTGCTCAGTCTGAGAACCGCAGATCACCACGCCAGGCTGAAGGCTACCTCCCCACCAAGCCTGTTTTCCTTCCCTCGTTCCTTCTTGGCACGATCCACACTTCTCTAAACCTCAGGCTTAGTGGCCACTCAGCCACTGCCTCTCACTGAGCTCCCCACCTGGGCTGCTTCTTAGATGAGAAGGAGGGATTATTCCTCTCAGTGTACCCCAGTCACTAGGCCTCCCTGTGCTGGTGCTAGGGTGTGGCAGGCAGGCCATTTCCTCCCCGTGAGCCTCAGTGTCCCAGACTAGAAAGCGGAGGCTGGGGACATCTGGAGAGCGCCTTGGGTTCACCCCAGAGGGACAGGTGTCCCTTTCCTATGGGAGCTTGCCTGCAGTGGGGTACGGCGGCCTCCAGAAAGCTCTTTGCTTAATAGCACCCAACCTTGCTCTGCCTGCTCAGCGTTATTATTGCTAAATTTATACAGTGTTAGTGTGCCTTCTTCATGAGTGTCTTTAAAAGAACACCGGAGGCCTTTCCTGAAAGAGTTTGCTGTCTCGGGTGGACCCTGAGCCTCCCGAGCTCAGGGGAGGCTCTGCCTGGCCAGGCTGTGTCTCCCTCCCCCGCCTCTGCCTTGCTGTCCCCCAGCCATTTGGCTCCACACTGACCAGGCCTGCTCTGTGCCACAGGCAGGTCCTTCCGGCGTTCCTGTGCTGGACCATCGCAACCGGGGAGCTTGGCCTCCGGTGACCTCCCTCTTTCCTAGGAAGATGTTCCTGGTAGGCCTGACAGGGGGCATTGCCTCAGGCAAAAGCTCGGTGATCCAGGTGTTCCAGCAGCTGGGTTGTGCGGTGATTGATGTGGACGTCATTGCCCGGCATGGTGAGTTGCGGGGGCGGGTTGTACACAGCAGATCCCCTGGGCTCCCTTCCTTCCATGAGGCCTCACCTTTTTATAAGGCCCTGGAAGCCCTCAGAGGAGGGGGGGGCCTTCCCATCAGCCCTGGTCTCCTGCCCGCTACTGCCCCACCCCACGCTTCCCTCCAGCTCCCTTCAGCCGTGACGAACACCAGGGATTCTGTGCACTCTGCTCTCCTCCCTGCTTTCCCTCCCCTCATCTTGTTTTTGCTGCAACTGAAAGAAGAACCCCTGGGTTCCCCCATCATTTTGCCTCTGGTCACTCAGAGTCCCCTGGCTGGGCTGGAGGCTCCAGCGAGTGACCCAGGCTCCTCTTCATGCCACAGTCGTCCAGCCAGGGTACCCCGCCCACCGGCGTATCGTGGAGGCCTTCGGCACTGAGGTCTTGCTGGAGAATGGCGACATCGATCGAAAGGTCCTGGGGGACCTGATCTTTAACCAGCCCGAGCGGCGGCACCTGCTCAACTCCATCACCCACCCCGAGATCTGCAAGGAAATGATGAAGGAGACCTTCAAGTTCTTTCTCCGGGGTAAGACCCGGGGCCTGGGACGGGGTGGGGCCCAGGCCCTTCTCTGCAGAAAGGTTGGCGGGGGTGGGGGGGAGCGGGGGGGAGGAGCTGATTATCATCCAGGCTGTTGAGTTCACTCTGTTCATTGGCATCCTCCGTGCAGCCCTGTACCAGCCCCAGAGAGAAGTGATGTCCCTCAACTCTTAAGGGGGCTGACAGTTTAATGAGAAGAGACACTTGAGGCTTTTGAGCCATGAACCCCAGGAAGCTGATTTTTCTAATAGGGTGGGAGTCATAATAGCTAGCGAATAATGGAGTCATAAGACCTGAGTTTAAGTCCTGGCCCTCACGGTTTCCAGCAGTGTGACTGTTGAGTGCACCCCCGCCTCCGCCTGTTTCCTCCTCTTCATAGTGAGGCTAATAATGCCAACCTGGGCAAGTTCTTAGGGAGACTAAAAGTCTACGCCATGACTGTCAAACACCACGAAAATGTAAACCACAGTCAGTCAGATTTGGTGCTGGTTGAGCCGCCCGGGAAAGTAAGTTTGCAGAGTGTAAGGTGGGAAGGCTCCGGGATGGCCAGGGCCGGTGGGGGTGGGTTCTAAGTGGAGGATGATGCTTGGGGGCTGGGCCTCAGTGGAGAGAGCTAGCCTGGCGTGCTCAGGGATGGCCAAGTGATGTGGCAGGACTGAAGGAAGGGGAGAGTGTTTGAAAAGCAGGGGTCTGTGGCAGCCTTTCCCAAGCCGTACGCTGCAGTCCAAGCGCGTTTCTTCAGGATGGCGTTGGGCAGGGGGGACCTGATCTTTACTGTCCAGGATGGGGTCAGTCCCCAGGAGAAGGGGGAGAGCTGAGAGCAGTGGTTTAGGATCAGGCGAGAGGCTGGCCCAGGGTCCCTACAGAGTGGCCTGTCAGCTACTGGGCCATGGAGCCTCCAGCCCAGGCTCAGGGTTGAAGGCCTGGCTGATTGTCTCCCGTCAGTCACGAGGCTGAGACTTTGCTTCCTGGAGGGTATGGGGGAGGCTTCTTGCTTTTCTTTGGGCTTTTGCACTGTGATCATGGCCAAATTCTCCCGTGCGTCAAGTTCTCATGTACAGAGTGGGGACTCTCTCCCCACTCCTGTCCCTCTCTGGCCAGTACCTCCCTCCAGAAGGAAAGGGATGACTTGACAGACATCCTTGATGTTGACCCTCCCTTCCCCGCCCCCCAGCTCTGGCCAGGCAGGAGCTGGCTCCCAGCATCCTCCCTGCTGGACCAGCTTTTGCTCCCCATCTCAGTACCTTGCCGCAGGCCTCCTCCCTCCTCCCTCAAGGGCAGTCTCTGGGCTCTTGCTGCCTTTGTCCTGCCTCTTGTATCTGTGCCAAGACCCCTCCTGTCACTGCCCACCCCCACCAGGAGCGAGGCCTTCTGCCTTTCATTCCTGCCCTTTCGCGTTCGCTCCCAGGCCAGGCGCGAGTACATCTATCTGCAGGGCTTTGAGGCAGCAGTGGCTCTCCCCTTCTGAAATTAAGCATCGGATAATGTCACCCGCTCCAAAGTTCTCCCGCTGTGTCATCCACCCAACTTCCCATCTCCCCAGCCACCACCACTTAAATAAAAGCCAGAAAGCTCTTTTCAGCTCGATAAGGTGAAAAATGGGGACGACAGCTGTGGCTTCCACAGTCCCAGTTTTCCCCTGATGAGTATAACAAATACAACTGTCAGAGTTGGTATAATCAAACGTCACATAAGATCACCAGCTGTTGGGAGGTCTCCGCGTAGGCAGACGGATGTCTTAATAGAGTCAGGGTGGTTTGCAGAACTTATCAAGCAGGAGGGATGTGACAGCTGAATAGCCCTTTGCCAGCGAACCATAGAGCTGTCCGCAAGCTCCCGAGAGGGGCCAAGGAGAAAGGACAGTGCATGGAGAGGAAGGGACGGGAGTGGAGCAGAAAAGGGAGGTAAGAGGCCCAGTGAGGACCTGGTCTCGGCCCCTGTTCTGGGCTGGACAGGAGTTGGGGAGCCAGCACTGCAGCCTGCTTCCTCCAGGGAGCTGTAGTAATAACAGCCAGCCATCATCTGTGGAGCAGTGAGTGAAGGTCTGGGTGAGGGGCTGCTGAGGGGTTTACAGGCATTTGCTCATGTAATCCTTACCATCTTCCTGTGAAGCGGGTCATCTGTTCACTCACTTACACAGGTGAGGTTTGGTAAGGGGCCCAAAGGGAGACAGTGGTGGCGACAAACCAAGGCGCGTCATCTGAGCCCATCTCATGACCCCCCGCTTCTCACGGCTCCTGGATCCCCGCCAGCTCTTCCACACTTACACAGCGGTCACTTGCCTAAAGAGAACTAGGAGCCCCAGGTGTTCCTGGGCGAGTAGCCCAGGAACATGCCCGCGCACAGTGGGTGAGGGTGCACCCCCTTGGCCGGCCTTGGCTTGCAGTGGGAGGGCTAGCCAGTGCCTTTTACCCCACGGGAGTTACTTCTGTAGTATGCGTCATAACCACCCCCACCCCCCAGAATCGTACCTGTAATCCCTGGCTGGAGGCGGCCTCTGACGCCGAGAAGCAGCCTCTTTC